TACCCCAATGAGGTTTGGAGCAATGCAAGTGGTTTTGCTTGTCTTAGTAGTTGACAGAAAGGTTTTCTCTTATCATGTGAGCATTAATAGACGTATTAAATTTGATTTCAGAAGAGCAACAGGAGCTGGAGGCGGGAGGGAAGCATGAAAAAGTACCAAAGAGAAAAGAGATTTGCAGTGAGCTTTAGGGTTTTTATTTTATAATTCCATAAGCCTAACTGAAATGAATTTGTAAATATTTTCAAATGTTGCAAAGTGAGAGCAGGGTCTTGAGACACATGTACCCCTGAGCTGTCTGGACCAGGGGTTCTCAAACTGGGGGTCGTGACCCCTCAGGGGGTCACAAGATTATTAAATGGGGGGGTTGTCAGCTGTCAGCCTCCACCCCCAAACCCCGCTTGCCTCCAGCATTTGTAATAGTGTTAAATACAAAAAAAGTGTTTTTAATTTATAAGGGGGGGGTCACACTCATAGGCTTTGCTGTGTGAAAGGGGTCACCAATATAAAAATTTGAGAAACACTGGTCTAGACTGCTGGAGTGTTAACCAAATGGAATCATGGTTGCAGAAGAGAAGCTATGGGAGATACAAGGATTCGAGATTATAGACATTTTTACAAAGTATAAAGGTAACAGGCCCAACTCAGGAAAGAATCCCAAGCTAGCCTTCAGTTTTGCAAACCCCAGCATTGCATCTGCAGCTAATTGTGGGCATAAATGGCAGCATTTACACATCTAGCTGCCTGGTTTGTGGACACAGTCAGACAGACACATATGAATGATATTTTTTGTGCCCACAATTAGATTCAGGCATAACCGTACATCCACAAAATGTGAGGTTCTTTTTGAAACTAAGGCTCAGTGTCTGTATCTGCATGTAATTTTACAAATATAAATCTTTGTCATTTTAAGAAAAATAGTTCATATATAAGTTTATTTACAGAACATTACAATTAACCGATGCACTAAAACAAAATGCCTTTGATGTGGTAGTATATAGGAGATAATCAAAAGCAGGGCAATTTTATTTCAGTCCAGTAGTCTTATTTTAGCCCTTTTCCCCCTCCTCATTAACTCTTTAATCCATGCCATCCTTACTTCCCTGCTCCAAGAGTTACTCAGCCCATTCCTCTTGGTCAGTGATATCTTCATCTGAAGTTGTTCCCAATTCCATCAAGTTCCAACCCTTATACTCCAACAACCCAGAAACATTCTTGAAGAAAGTGGTTTGTTATCTACTCTGACAACTGTACATCATTGCCATGGCAAGTTAATTTGTGATTACCTGAGCTCTGGAGACCTTTGTGTGTAGGAGCCTTGGCACCCTTACTTCCAGTTCAAAATCCTGGAAAGCCGCTGAAGTTGTCCACTTTGGCTAACATTAGAGAAATCTTGGTGCTAAATCCATTTTTTCTTTAATCTGGGTCATTATCGTGTAGCTTTCCTATTGTGTAAAACCCCAAGAAGGACAAAGGAGATGGGAAATATACCATTGTCTGTGCATTAGCCACTCTCCTTCTGAAGTTTAGTATGGGATGAGGTTGTTGCAGTATTACAACTTGTAGGAGCTTAACTAAGCGTGAAATCTTGGCCTCTTTGAAATAAGTGGGAAAGCTCCCATTGAATTCAGTGGAGCCAGGATTTCATCCTAATATATATATTTTGCTTGACTTGTTCTCTGAACATAGTTTGTTTGAATGCTGACTAGGTCTCCTTGTGGGCAAGTTTAAGCGTGCTGTGATTTTGTCCAGTCTGGAAATTATTGCAGCACAGGTAAACTGAGAGGATTTTCCATTGAAGCTTGTTAGCAGATTGTTGTTGCACCTATATGGTATAATGTAAAGCTGGGGTAGGCAACCTATGGCACGTGTGCCAAAGGCGGCATGCGAGCTGATTTTCAGTGGCACTCACACTGCCCAGGTCCTGGCCACCGGTCCGGGGGGCTCTGCATTTTAATTTCATTTTAAATGAAGCTTCTTAAACATTTTAAAAACCTTATTTACTTTACATACAGCAATAGTTTAGTTATATATTATAGACTTATAGAAAGAGACCTTCTACAAACGTTCAAATGTATGACTGGCACACAAAACCTTAAATTAGAGTGAATAAATGAAGACTCAGCACACCGCTTCTGAAAGGTTGCCGACCCCTGATATAAAGTATGTCAAGTAAAAAAATAGGGAGTATGAATTTATGTACACCAAACAGACAACCATCCTGCTGAAAACTATTTTCTTCCTTGTCTTAATATTGTACCTCATGCTATTTTGAAGCTGTTACTTTATTTTAGGTAAAGTACACACACACACACACACACACACACACGCGCACACACACACACACACCAGTTAGCAAAGGAATTGATTGTCCTATTAGGTAATCCAGGCCATTCCCCCTGCCAGTGTAGGGTATGTTCCCGGATAGAGCAGTATCAGTCAAATACTACAATTGGTTTACTTCTGATAGTCTTGTTCTGTAGGATGTTAGGATTTGAGTTTACCATAAAAATACTGCATGCTCCCAAGAACTTTATAATTCTCTGTATATGCTGTTCAAGCCATTACACACACACACACACACACACACACACACACACACACACACACACACACACACACACACAGTCTGTTGATTATTTGGGAAAATATTGTGTTATAAATAAAGCTGTAAGGCCAGATTCACTGAGACATCCCAGCAATGAAACGACATATTCTTTCAGAGCCAGCTTTAGCCAGGCAGTGGGCAGAGGGCAGACCCATCTACTATTTATGTAATTTTAGTGCTTGCAATTCTGTGTATTTGTTTATTTATTTTGAAGGTGGTGGTAGGGGGTGCCATTCACAACTAAGGAAGCTTCTTTTTTAATAATAGGACAAAAGTCAGGAAGTTCATGCAGACAGCAATTGAGAGAAACCATTTCACAGGAAAGGACTCTACATCCCTCTTAAATATGATCAATAACATCCCACTATTTGATTAAAATAATTCACCTAAAGGGTCATTTCCAGGTGCTTATTTTTTGACAAAAGTAAATAAATGACCAAACTTTCAGGCACGTTAATATTTGATTTGCAGATAACTGCATACATATTGGATTTGAAGATTACTTTCCAGAGGACTGCATTAAAATTGCAAGACTTTTCCATTATCCCTCATAATGGAACATGAAATTAGAAACTTGTTAAAGAAAAGAAAAAATTCTCAACTCTTGTCTGAAACTTCACATAAATTTCACTTTAAGTTAGCAGTGTAACTTTCCTTTTCTAAGTTCCAGGACTGGAAAGGTAGATATTAGACTCCAAAATCAGTGGGATTTAGAGTCTTTTTACCATGCATTTTGTAATTAGATACGAGAAACAATCAAGTTATAATTCTGTCTTGGTTTCTTCATTAATTCTAGAAGGAAGCCCTAATCAAGGAGTTAGCTTGCTAATGGGCAAAACCTCAAGGTTCTAGGAGATCTGGGAGCTCATAAAGGTTTTTGTTTTGACTGTTGATTCTTTTTTTCTTGGGGTTGTGTATCTGTGAGGGGGATGAGGTGCAGAAACGTTTTCTTCGTGTCTTAATGAAAAAACGGAGAAAAAATATTACTCATAAAAAATACAAGTAGAGTCGCTTCTGTGAAGCTTCGCAACACTCAGATCTTTCAGCGTACCTCACTACTGACCTGAAATAGCATTTTGTTCCACATCTTGCTCTTTCTTGGTTTCCAAAATGTAGTGAACTGGCTTTCCTGTGTAACCATTGGGACTGCCATCAGATAGCACCACACAAATGCTGGTTTCCTTTACCATTTTTTTTTCTGTTTCTGAATACTGTCGCAAATGTTCTATATTTTAAATGTTTCTTTGTAAAAAGTAATAGATAATTACAGTGTTCTACAAAACCAACGGGTTTTTTTTGGACAAATAAAACACAGGTCTTTTGCTATTGGCAACTCAACTCAAGTTAGCCTGCAGCTCCTAAGTCCAATAGGTTTTATGGCCTCTGACTAATACCTGATGGACATTTGTTGAGTATAGATGAGCCAAATGGCAAAGATTTGTTACTTCTCAAAATACGTGGGCAGTCTTCAGTACTGAAAGTAGAGATCTGCATTATCACTAGAAGGCAGTACCCTTCCTGACATTACATTACTGGATCAGCTAATTTATGTTTCTCATTATTCTGCTTTCTAGATGGTATCACTTTCTGGGAAGTAATTCTGAAAATGGTAAAACAAATAGAAACCTTCATCAGGCAGTCACAAAGTCACCTGTGAGCGTGCGACCCATCCTGCTTTCAACATAGCTTGATTTTTCCAAGTCTATTTCTCTTGCTGTATTGGACTCAAATAATCAGTGTCCATAACATTTCAATTCTAGCGTTGCTTCTTTTGTCTGTGGGTCAGCAACAAACAAAAAAAGATTCCCAGTGTTATATACTCTAGACTTGAAAGTGAGGGGGGAAAACATACTTGTTCTATAACAAAGCAATAAAATTTTACTTCTGATTATATGTGCCTTTGATAGAAATGTACGTGGAACAATAATTTAGCAAGAAAATAATTTCCATTTTCTGAAAAGTTATTAGTTATCTTTCAAAAGCAATTATTTGACTTCTTTAAAAGCGGAAATCAATTAAATCTTAAATATAAATACCTAGATTTTCTTAGTGATTTTTTTATATTGCAGTTCTGTTTATAACGGGTTAATGAATGTTATAGACATATTACAGACATGAGTAGCATGTGTAGTGGATATTTATAACGACATCAGCAGAAAGCATATAGGTGTTTATAAGCAATTGACTGACCTTTGGACTCTCTAACAATGTATAACAACTGATTCATTATTTATTAAAGTATTTATTAATCTTTTCTAAACAATTTATAAATGGAACGCTCATATAAACCATAACCATTTATTTCATTTATCTGTAATAGCTTCTTTATTTTGAGCGCTAGTGATGATAAGAAAACACCAATTAACTTTTCATGACTCCCTTTTCTTTTTCCTAGGTTTATTAGAAAACAAGGTCTGGACAGGCTTTTCCTAGAATGTGATACACACATGTGGCGCCTTGGAGACCGGAAAATCCCAGAAGGAATCACTCTGGATGGAGGATCAGACTGGTTCCTATTGAACAGGAAGTTTGTGGAGTATGTCATCTTTTCCAGTGATGATCTGGTGACAAAGATGAAGAGGTTCTATTCGTATACTTTGCTTCCCGCTGAGGTGTGTGGATTTACAGAAGCCTCACTCTTCAAAGCTGTTGCTAGGCCTGATGCAAAGATCACTGAAGTCATTGGGATTCTCTGTGTTGACTTCAGTGGCCTTTTGATGTTTCAACTACTTTTTTTCCTTTGCTTGGTTATTTACATTTTGAACCAGTTAAACTATTACAGAGTAACCAAAACTTCAAGTTTCCTTTGCTTACAAATGTCCTTCTATAAAGACTTTCAAAAACTAATAGGGATGGAGACCCATATCCGTAAGTAGCTTTCCTCATCGCATCCATCCCTCTTATTTAAAAAAAAAAATTAAGTACTTTAAAATGAAAGGTCTGCAAACAAAGATTTATTGTTCAATTCAAAACTCAGCTGGAAGGCACAGTCACAAATAATCTAGATCACTCAGAAATCACTCCAGCTCTAAGTGATGCAGAAGAGAGTGCAGACTAGAATTTGTTTCAGTCGAACATGTAGCAGTTTGTCAGGATGGGCGTGCATTATCTTCAGATAGAGCACACAGTCTGACATTTTCACAGGCTGTTATACACCTGCCCTGTCAGGTACATTTCTCCCATGGGTTGTCAGACTCTTTCTCCAAGGTACTAACGTGCTCTATATGTTCCTGAGTGTCTGTGAGGAAGGCTAACCTAATGACTATCTTTTAATGATATCAGCCTTCCTCGGTGGTGACACGTGAGTCTTTGGTGGATCGATGAGACCAATCTTGCAAATATAAACCTTTTGTCATTCAGCTGAACACAGTGGTTCTCATAATTTGATGGGGTTTATTATTCCACACACGTTAAATAATCTCCCTTTAATCCTATTTCTGCTAAAATTCACTTCTTCTCTCAACTCTGATAACCTTTTCATCCATTATCTTGCAGAGAATTTCTGTATCATTATGAAAGGACACAGGGCAATGAGTAATTGGGTAGTAGGTTTTTTTTTTCTCGCTTGACTGGGAATGTATGCCTTTATGGGTTTAACCAGACAATTCAAGCGTAAAATCCATATTCACTGGGCTGTCATTTAACATTAAAAAAGGGTAGGGGGATTATTTGGGGGTCAGCCATGCTAATACTATGCCATTTATTTATAGATCATGCTATAGCAGTTTTTAAAGACAAGTCACTGCTCCTAAAAATCATCTTTTGCAGAGCTAAATTTGATCATTTTGCACTGCTGCCCTCCACAAGGTTTTCTTATGCTAGGTCCATATGTAACTTCTAAAAATCATTCTGCCTTTGCTGACCTGTTAACCTGCTACATCAGTCCCCCTTACACAGGATTTATGTAATAGCTGAAATTATAATGATATAATTAGGAGAACCCAATAGGAATTCCTTGCTGCCTTGAGTCAGCAAATAAAGACTTACAATTTCAGAAGTAATTGCAGGAGACAAAATGTCCTTCTAGTAGCTGGGGTGACTGTTATTTTTCTGTATGAGGTCACTCAGCTAGCAGCACATTACAAGTAATCCTTGGTCTCTGAGGTAAACAGACTAACAGAAGAATTGATTACGAGGCTGTTTGTTTTTCCATCAATAACGGTGGTAGAAGATACAGCCTGAGAGTTATCATAGAAAACGCTTTGAAATTTATCATCAACGTGTCTCCAAGGAAAACAGTTCTGAGCGTAGTAGACCATAGAGTAACTTTGAAGACAAAATAATAGGGATCCCTTGAAGCAGGAATTTCTCGGACAACTGAAATAAATACAGCACAGTAATGAGAATGGTGCCTTTCAGTTTCAGGATCACAAAGCCAGTCATTCCAGAGGTCTAAAGAGCTAGAACGCCTGCAGCCAATCAGCCTTTTGTAGCATGGCTTTACCCCAGACTTTATTATTGTTTGGCTGTGTCCGCACTGTGCTATGCTCTCTGTCCTATAGAGAGGGGACCAAGGCAAAGCTGCAAGGGAAGGTAACTCTCTTACTTCTAGAGAGGATAGTCCAGGTCGGTCAAGGTTCAGGACTGTAGGCTGGTTTTCTGAGCTGAAAGTGAAGATGAAAACAGAAGTCTGCATTGCTGAACGTACTGAACTGTTATTTTCTTGCAGTCCTTCTTTCATACTGTCCTGGAAAATAGCCCTCACTGTGACTCCATGGTGGACAACAATTTGCGCATCACTAACTGGAACCGTAAACTGGGCTGCAAATGTCAGTACAAGCACATTGTTGATTGGTGTGGCTGCTCTCCTAATGATTTCAAACCAGCAGACTTCCACAGATTTCAGGTAAGTCAGCTCTCTGATCACCATGTGTCAGGGGGGCTGGTTTTTCACTTCTCTATCTCTTTGACGTTGGGAAGCAGTCTAATTTCATGGCTATGGATTCAGGTTATGACGTAAGAATCTGTTTTCACTTTTTAAAAAGGAAGATTCTGACCCTCCTGGCTGAAGGGGAAAAGCTTGAAAATGTGACCCGAGTGAACCCTGAAGGCTCAAAAGCCAAAAGGCAAATTAAAGGACTCCAACATTTGTAATTATAATTTTTAAAGTCATGATTTGTAAGGTAATCTTACGATTTTGGGAGTTTGACTTACGGTTTTTGGACACTTGGAGTTGGCAAAACTGCAGTATAGGAACCTTAAGACGTTTGATTTCCCCCTTATGCTACACTATCTAGGGAGGCAGACGAGAGCAACATTGGATGGGCAGCTGGTGTGATTGGGCTCTGGGCTGTAATAGGCCTGAGTGCTTGGTACTAACAATACATTACGGTGTGTTACATAAAGCCAGGTGTTACAGTTTGTATCTTTTCAAGCATTTCCCAATGCAAGGGGCCAGTGAACCACACATGAGAGAGGCAGCAGGTTACTGGATCTGCAGTTCCATCCTCCAATCCCTGCAAGTTTCCCTGCACAAAGCCTGTTTACTCAGGCTTTGTGTGGGGCGGGTTGCAATACCTCATGAAGCATAAATGACAGCCAGTCCAAAACAGAGACCTTGTTTCTGTTGAAATATACTACACCTCTACCCCGATATAATGCGACCCGATATAACATGAATTCGGATATAACGCGGTAAAGCAGTGCTCCGGGGGGGCGGGGCTGTGCACTCTGGCGGATCAAAGCAAGTTCGATATAATGCGGTTTCACCTATAACGCAGTAAGATTTTTTGGCTCCCGAGGACAGCGTTATATCGGGGTAGAGGTGTATATACCAAGCATGGCTAATGTCAGTGACAGAGGCACTCACAAAAATGCTAAACAAAGCATTTACTCTAAAAGAGCTTCTCTGACACACCCAGGCATCCCAGCCTCTGACCCAGTCAAGAGTCCAGCGAAGAATAAGTAAAAAAAGCCTTGATAAACTAGAGAGAATCAGCAGAGTCTGACCCACCTCCAAGCTACAAAATATGCGTTAGCCACATTTCAGGGACTAATCAGGCAAACGGAGCTGTAAAAGCCCAGAAATCACATGCTGAAATAAGCCTGACATATGCCTGATAAGAAAGTCCCTGAAATACACACATTTCACCACAAACATCACTCACAATTCCCAAGGAAATACAAAGTGTGCTACAGAGGGAGGGAATATCAGAGGGGCGAGCACATGATCTGAGCAGTCGTAGAGTGAAAAAGAATTTCTTATAATAAGATCTGTAGCACCTTTGATCTCTGCCACTCCCCAAAGCTGGTACACAAAACCTGAACAAGATAAAATAAAGCCAGTTTAAAAGCTAACAAAGTAGAATTAAGAAGTGTATAACTACTAAAACATCCAAAATTCTGTATAGTACAAAGCAGGAAGTTTAAAAGGGACTGATCAAAACCTAAGAGCCCCTGCCATAGATGGCACCTCTCCCAGAATCCTGTTAACACTTTGAAACAGCAAATCTATACATATAAACTGTACAGCTAAATGATTGGCTATAAAAAGGCTGAAAAACAATCTTCCTTCTCAGAGCCCTACCAGGAATTGTGAAATGTATAACCTAACAGAAGTCATGTTCAGCTGACACTGTTTAAAATTCTGTTCTGGCTCCTCTTCTGGGCTTCTGCACTTCTACATCTGCATATTCTTTGCTCGCTGCTTGACCTCTTATAAATTGTTCTAGTGCTGCAGGGGATCCATGTCTCATGCTGACTACTCATCGTGAAAAGTTTGTTCCATCTCCCCAGCACACAGTGAGTCATCACATGCAGGAGAGATGGAGCTGGCTCTCAGTATGGGAACTGGTGCAAGAAAAGGGAAATTTCAGCTTCTGTCCCAAGTGCTCTTCACAAACTGCTTTGTGCAGATTGACTGTACTGCATTGTGCTTAATTGGTCTCCATGTAAGTTAACATGGCAAAATCACTCCTCACCCATCCCTCTCTACCTTTTATCTGTATCTAGTGGCCTAATTAGATATAATGGGCCATGTTCTGTTTTCACTCACAATAGTTTTATACCTGGGTAGCATCCACTGATTTGGATGGAATTAATCCTGACTTATACAAGTGTCAGTGAAGTGGATAATCAGGCTATATATATGTGTGTGTCCATTCATACATACATACATACATACATACATATATCTATATAAAAACTAGCTTGATTTGCCACATGAGAAATATGTTTGTAAAGCTCCTCGAGGAGTTCATTATCTAGGTTGAGTCACTGAAGAAAAAAATTAAAGGCACATATTTAAAGAAGGAAGAAATGCAGAAAGGGGAAACAGATACTCCCGACAGCTCATTGTCTTATGTTCTCCCACTGAGGTTCCCTTTATCCCCTCTTTGGCTGGGTCAGGCAACCTTACTGCACTTTGTGAAGGATACGATTGATTTTTCTGTTATTTTCCTTGTTTTCTGCCAATTGGGCACATGTGGATAACAAGAACTTGGTGTTCTCTGCATCCAGGCCTTCTCGTTCCCTCACCACTGCAAATGAACAATAGGGGTCTCTGGCAGGGGAGAGAGAAGAGTTCTCCCACGCTGTAGGGAGTGACTGTCTTTTGCGGGACTTGGCAACAGCCTATTCCAGGAAAGCCAGTGCAGCTGGGCAGCAGTCATACTCTCTAATAAAAAAAGAAACCCCTCAAATGAACACTTGCTAGTGCAGAAGCCATTGTCTTTGGAAATACAGAGGGTAGAGGCTTCAGGAAGCAGAAACATTGGTTATGTATCTTTGGTTCCTCTCATTTATTGACCAGTGAGGATAAATCATCCTGAAGCCAATCCTGAAGGAAACCACAATTTATAATCTCTCTCTCGCAGTCTATCTTCTTTGTGTCGATATAGTGAGCTAGATTTATACTGTTCTTCTCAGGAAGGTGGCAAGGTGGCTTTAAGGCATTTATGTGCCTCCAGGATTCTGCCTGCTTTGGGAGCTTGTCGAGCACCTGGAGTAAGCTTGGTGAGTCCCAGGGGCTGCTCTACTTTACAGCAGACTGCTGTGCAACCCTCATAGACTGAAGACATAGTTCTTTGGCCAGTCCCTCTCCCACACCTTCCTTTTTATCCATCCATCACAGCCCTACGCTGGGGGGGCTCAGTATCCCAACCTTATTCTGTTGTGGGACATCATATAAAGGCCAGAACATGATCCTGAATCCAACCAATATTAATTATATCCTGTCACAGCACAAAACTCTTGCCCCATTTGTGGAAGAAGATAACAGCAATGGGATATAAATCTGTAGCTTCCGGACATCTCTTGCTCTCTTTTGCAAGACCATCTCTCTCCCCCACCCTTTTCCGCAGACCCATCTCTATTGTGTAGACTTTATCTAATCACCATGCTTCTTTGCCCCACTGACCTGCCCTGTATGGGTAGTACTAGCTTATTACTTCACATTCCAAAACATTTAAACCCACTTGGGACATTTAATTAATTGGCTGAGGCAAGTGATGGAAAAAACTGCTTTTCCCAGTATAACTTATTTTGCTTGGAGGGTGGAGGGGGGCTACAGTAACTTATACCAGCAAAAGTGCAGTTTTGCTGGCATAAACTTTTGTCCACACTACTAGCCCTCTGCCAGTTACAGTACACTAGTATAGCTATACTGGCAAAGCGCTCCTTGTATAGACCTGGCCTCACTCTGTCTTCTCCCGAATTAGATACAAAAGGACAGGATTAAACAGAATGAGAACCAAAAAAAGCAAGAGCTATGTTGAGGATCATTGAACTTGTAGTGTTATAAACGAGCTGTAATTATCCAAACTAAATTCTTCCCTACCCTTCTAAAATGATTTCAAGCTAACTGACTAGCTATCCATGTACACTACTTTAAAATCCAAATAGATCCTGGAAATAGCCTCTTCTAGTACTAGAAAGATTACAGCGTTTTTTCCCTTAAACTTTCTGTTTTTCCTTTCATTTGATTAGCTTTCAGACACCATGTGTTAATAACAAGCATTGACTCTAACTTGCTTGCATTTTAATCCCCTAAACTGATTTAGCATATTCCTCTCATTTATATTTGATGGTATTCAGGAAGAGAAGATTGTTTATAATGACAGTATGTTGAGAATAAAATATAGATGGAATGCTGTGAAGACTGCAGTAATCCTGTTCATTTAGGGTTTGATGGAATGGTAACATGTTCCCTAAACTTTCTGTGTGTGCTCTACTAAACTTTAGTGTGATGCTGATAGAAAACCTTTTCATAAGTGCACTTGAAACATATTATCTTGGTCTGGAAACCATTATGGAGCTTCTTCTTTAGTCTAATATCATACTGCATCCTAGCTGGTAGTTGCTCGCTTATTTCTGATTGCAAAAATCTTGTTCTGAAAGAGTGCAATCCACTCCTGTACAGAGGGTCAGCACAAAGCCTATGCACCACTTAAGACCCACTTAATTTTGAGGTCTTAAATGGGACTTCAAAGTGGCGTATAGATCTTGTACTAGCTCTGTGCACAAGGATGAGTTGGAACAAAAGAGAACTAAGGAATGCTTGTAAACAAAGAGGTTCTATATATTTGTATTATTGTGCATAATACTGATCTTCCTGAGTGAAATAACGCCCCAGATACCCTCAATGACAAGTGCAAAACTTCATGATACCTGTTATGTCTTGCAAACAGCAGGTAGTGAATTGGTCTTTAACAATGTCATTATAATAGCCAAATTCGTCCTGGAAGTCAGTGGAGTTACACCAGGGATGAATCTGGCCCAATGAGTCCTACAATCCTGTTAAAAAATTTTCCACATACTCTGATAAGAAGGAATTACTCAAAAATGCAAAATCTTTGGCCACAACAGCCTGTTTTTATAGATCAAAGCAAAGCAAACAGCGGGCTATTCATCCCCACTCTTCATTTCTCTATACCTGGCTCATATCTGAGTACCCTTGAGAGAACAGTATACTTTGTCCGTATGGGTAAGGGTCACTAGGTTTGACCTCTTTAGGATTTTTATTTTATGTAGAACTCCCCCAGATAGATCAAAATGACCCCTCTGATATCCTTTGCCCATCTTTGATCACTGATCCGATAGACATTCTTCTCGGCCTGAGTTGTCTGTTGCTCTGAGACTGACCACTGCAAGACAGCGATTTAAGCTAAAGGAAATAGTCTCCTCTTCCCATTTTTTTTTCTGTATTAGTATTATTATTTATTTGTTTGTATTGCAGTACTGTATAGGCCCCAGCCATGATCAGACCATGGTGCTAGGCATTGTACATATCTGTTGGGAAAGAGACCGTTGTCTTGTCAAGAGTTTATGATCTAAGTAGATAAGATAGACAAAGAATGAGAGAAGAAACAAGGGCACAGAAAGGTGACGTGACTTACCCAAGGTCACACAGCAGTTCAGTGGTAGAGCTGCTATTCACCAGGTCACGCTGCATCTTTTCTGTGACCCACTAATACTGCTATACTTGTTTGCCTGCATCTCACAGATGACATTTTGGTTCACGTAACAAAGTTACCTACCAGGTTCTAAGGGAATGATATATCCAGTATGTTCACCTTTCTGTGTATAAAAGAAGCGCAATGTCTAAATCTCGGAGTTGACAAGCCTATTTCTTACAATTATTTGTGGTAGATTTCTATTTCACTGTTTCGCTCTCTAGAATATATTCACACTTTGTATCTATCTGCTATCTCCTATTCTTAGAGGAAACAAATTTAAATAGTCTCTGCAAAGGGAAAGCCTAAACCCAAGTAAGCAGCAGACTCTTGATTTTTAGCTCTTCCACAGGTTCCACTACCCCTTTCCCCTGGTAGACTTCAAATCCTTTTCTTATGCAATGGCCATAGTCTTGTTGTAATTCTTATCTTTCTCTCTTCCTGCTGATTGTCATGTCCTGTCTTTATTTAGATTATAAACTCTTCAGGGCAGAAATCTTGTCTTCTATAGATTCTTTAAAGTGCACTTCTGTGAGCTGTAAAACCAAATATTTAGAATAAAATTCTGTCTGGCCCTGGACAGGTAAGGCTCAAGGGTGGGGCAAGAAGTTTCTCCTTTTGTGCACTAGCATAGGGATCTTCTGCAATATGGTTGGAGGAAAGCACAGATTTTTATATAACACTTACTCCATCTCCAGCATTATTGCTTAACTTGTCTGTGGACATGGGTAAATGCTGCTTACATCCTTAGCTCCAGCCTATTGCTTAGAACAAGAGGTTTGTGACTGGAAACGGGAACTAACTCTAAGGTATTTTTTCTTTCGTATCAACACAGCAAACCGCCAGGCCAACGTTCTTTGCCCGCAAATTTGAAGCCGTGGTGAATCAAGAAATCATCGGCCAGTTGGACTATTATTTGTATGGTAACTACCCATCTGGCACGCCAGGCCTCAGGTCGTACTGGGAGAATATATATGATGAGCCCGACGGCATCCATAGCCTCAGTGATGTCATTCTGACCATGTATCACTCATTTTCCCGCTTGGGCCTAAGGAGAGCTGAGACGTCATTGCACACTGATGGAGACAACAGCTGCCGGTTAGTTGGAAACTTCTTCTTTTTCCCTGCAAAAGCAGGAGTCTTAGAGGTACAGGGCCTGATCCAAAGATCAGTGAGGTTCCCCACTGACTTCAGTGAGCTTTATATCAGATCTGAATATTAGAGTGTGATGTACAGTACAGAGTGACTGTGCTGGACTAGAATGGAGTGAACAATTCACCCACCCAGGGCATTTCACCCACTTTGTTGTATAGGCTGATGTATGTACAGGACTTGTCAGCTCTGGGTTTGATAAACTGCATATTTTCAAAGGTGTTTATACTTACTGATATATATTGGTTGTCCAGGGTTGACATTATGTATGTGATTTGTTTGATATACTTTTAAAGAGCACCTCTTATGCCTAGTCAGTAGTGACAGGTTCCATTTGGGTGGTGGGTTTTATTTATTAATTTAGTGAGTATATGTTTATATTCACAGCTCCTGGATTCTTAGTCTCATTTCAGCAGAGGTCATGCTGACATTTGTACTTGCCAGGAAGCAGAAGACAGGATTTCAGTCCCTCAAAAATGAGGGTTAACGATCTTTCCTGCTTGCCCCTCTATGAGCAGATTTTTATGTGTGGTGCTCACAAGAACTAATCACACAAGTTAAGTTTTCTTGAACAGTTGCAGTAGCCTTCTGCTGAAAATGCAGCCAGTGGTGTTTTAAAAAGCAACAGGCAATTATTCCATTAATATGAATAAATTAATAATTTTTTTTTTAAATCAAAAGATGTTAGACACACTTTTTTATTGAAGGTTTCCAGCTATAAATCAAGTGAAGAAAAATCCATTTTAACAAATGTTTATAGTTAAACAGATTTACTTTCATTCGTTTCAAAGCAAAGCTAAGTCTTGTGGTAGGTGTTTGTTGTCTGCACTCACATGTTAAAGCTCTTTATTTTCAACACAAGGATATTGCATCCTTTAAATCTTCCCTTGTATTGTATGGTTCCCTTTCTGCTCTAAAATGTAATTACTTTTACGTTGTTTGTCGGGACTCATGTGCCCTTCTAGTTTTTACCCTAACAGAAAACACACTTAATCTAGCTCTGAGTGCTAAAGCCATTCCTTGCAGTTTGACAAATGGAGTTGGTCCTTCGTGTGTTCTTGAGTAGGAACCTAATTCTCTGTGCCATTCTTAGTCAGTCACCAAAGTGCTGAGTACTGTCCCACTTGAGAAGCTCTGGAAATAAGTGATCTAGATTTCTATTACAGCCCTACCAGTAAAGGCTCCTGCTACAAAGCAATAAAAGATCAATAACACTTAGATATAAATAATAACTGGGAGCATACCATCCCTGACTTGAAAGAGACAGATCTGGTGACTGCCAAAGTCACTTGGCTTGTAGCAATTTAACCAGCGCAGGAAATGAGAGCTACATGTGGCAGGTAATAAAATCATATTGCAATTGCTTTATGTTCTTATTCCTTTTGCCAACATTGTGATGATTATTTATATTATCTTACTGCATGTATATAGAGCCTTTCATCTCAAAGGATCACAAAGTGCTTTTCCAGCTTAAACGGATAGACTGTTTACAAGGCAATCCCTTCATCCACCATTGAAATGCAACCACCTCTGGGGTGAAATATAGCTGTTTAACCCTACACAGCAAAACTATGAAACAGTTTATGGCAGGAAGTGACGACTATCATATCCAATTGAAACTGCACTTGGATACTTGGGCTAAACCTCAACAAACATTCCATGCAGGTTGTTAATATCTGATTATGTAGCAACAAGTACAGTTTAAAGTACCATCCAATTTACATTTTATAGGAATGGCTAGTCCTTACTTTACAAAACACAACTCTTCCCCTTTTGGCATCTCCACTCGGGTTGGGTTCCTTGGCTGTATCACTTTTGCTGTAGGGCTGGCAGCAACGCGACATCAGATGATACTGAGTCACCACCCCAGTTTATTTCACACTGCTGGAGGCACCACAAGGAAAAGTCTACAGCTCAAGATCACATTCAGAGTCACTCCCATGCTGCAACCAGTGTCTATGAGAAATTGTTGCTGCCCAAAAGATTTCTATAAAAGAAATTGTCTGACAGAGCTCACCTAAAGAGGGGTAGACCACTGCCTCAAAAAGATGCACCCCCGGCAGACTGTTCTTGAACTAGATGATATTAAGTGTTGACATATTCTGTGCAAGCCATATTAGAGGGTGTTGGGATTTAATTTATTTCTTTTCACCTCTAGACATTTTTCCCAACTGCTGCCATGAGATAATTTACTCAGTTTCATTGATACTGTAAATATTTGCTGCAACATATACCTAAAACAGGAGGTCTTAGTATTCAGAACAGAAGTTAGTTTGTTGCCTGTACTGGCTGCAGTGCCCTGTTTGCTGTGTTTTTAGCAGAGTCCATCAGTGTCGGCCTTGTTTGTATTCTATCTTGCTATGTTTATTTCTCATGCTCTAGACATTTCAGCCCTGGTGGTACTGGTTTCTTATAATGCAGCATTGTTCCTGGCTGGCTGGCTTCATTGCTAGCTCCCTGTGATATTATATCATGGGGAGTCTGGTTTTAGCAAGCTAGGTTTTGTGGGTAGATGTGACACCAATAGGCTTTCAATGGGTCCGTCACATATTTGTTTCTGAGTATTTACAGTAGACTAACAGTTAATTACAGGATTGTAAAAATTGCAAGTGATACTGATGCCAGAGCCATAAATTATACCTTTTTCTATATTGCCAAGAAAATCTTTTTCAGGATGAAAGAACGAGTGAGCCATAAGTTTAAGTCATTTAAATCTGTGGCCATGGTGTCTTTTATTTCAAGAGCTTAATGAAAAGCTACTAAATTTCCTGGTTAGTCTTTCTAAGGGCATATTGACATGGTAAGTTACTGTACAGCAAACCAGGGTGCGAATCTACAGCGCACCAGCTTGCCATGCACTGTGCGGACAGTGCTGCAGTGCAGTGAAAGTCCTGGAATGCGGTTCAGTATACGCCAGTATAGTACACTAAGCTGCATGCTGGGATTTTCACTGCACTGCCGTTGGCAAGCTGGTGCGCTATAGATTCGCACCCTGACTTACTGCACGGGAACTCGCTGTGTAGACCAGCTTTAATAAGTAAAAAATGGTGATGATCCCGGGCACAAGCAATCCCAACTTTCCACTAGCAAGAAGGTTGTGTTATAAAAAGTTTGGGCTAGCTCCTTCTTTCCATTTTACCCATGCAGCCCTGCAGAACTCAATGGGTAGAACACATCCCTTTGTGAATGAATCCAGTACTCATGAGAGCGAGACTTAGTTGCATTGACTTGAATTGGGCACTAGCTCAGCCAGTGCATCTCCTGTGCCCTGACTTGCAGTGCCCTCTACTGTTCCCATCGTGGGACTCTCTTGAAGAAAGCATACCAATCATTGCATACTATGTGGTGGTTTTGTGACGTGAGACTAACCGTCAGTATGGTGATTTAATTTAAGAGTGGTTGGAGTTGGAAGAAAGCAGCAGGAGAAGAGTTCTGTGGTGCATCCAATCTTTGGCAATTGGAAGATAGAAGGGCTTTCCTTGAATTTGTATTTTTCATTTCTATGTGGCAAATATAATATTGAGAACTGGTTCAAGATGACCACCTTGTAATTTTAATGTTATTGCAAATGGCAAATCATGTAAAAGAGGCATCCGTTTTTACTGTAGCAGTGAGAGGTACTTGGATGAAATAGTGATGGGGGCCATAAAAACAGAGAGACAGATAATGAGTTATGATCGAATATATTCATAACAAACATATCTTCTGCTTTAGTGTCCAGTACTGCTTTCAAATATTCACAGGTTGGTAGGGCTGTTTGCTACAGTTACTTAATGGACTACTTTTTACATCTGTACATTGGTATCAAAGGCTTTCTGAAGTCACAAGGATAAGGAATTTTATAACAGTAATTATGTAAACAGTGGACATTTATTAATGTCATAGAACTGTCACCAGAATATCTAGAAACTGGCCAAGCTGCATTTCTCTCCATTTGGTTGGAAAATTTTTCCCCTTGTCCACATCTACAAATTTATTTTTTCGGCTTCTCAGCCATGAGGCAGAAAGGCCCCAATCCTGCAAAGACTTACTCATGTGCTTAGCTTTACACACTACGAATAGTCCATTGAAGGCATTGAAGCTACTTATAGTGTGGAAGATTAAGCGCATGCAGAAACAGGGCCAACTATAAAGCCCCGCAGCCCAAGCACCACAAGTCTGAGTCAGCCGACCCAAACCAGTCACGGCCATGATGTGAGTCTTTTACTGCAGTGTAGACATATCCCCACTGTCCACCCCTTCCCTTACAAAATGAAATTAGAGAAGCACTTAGAATCATAGAATCATAGAATATCAGGGTTGGAAGGGACCTCAGGAGGTCATCTAGTCCAACCCCCTGCTCAAAGCAGGACCAATTCCCAACTAAATCATCCCAGCCAGGGCTTTGTCAAGCCGGGCCTTAAAAACCTCCAAGGAAGGAGACTCCACCACCTCCCTAGGTAACGCATTCCAGTGCTTCACCACCCTCCTAGTGAAATAGTGTTTCCTAATATCCAACCTAGACCGCCCCCACTGCAACTTGAGACCATTGCTCCTTGTTCTGTCATCTGCCACCATTGAGAACAGCCGAGTTCCATCCTCTTTGGAACCCCCCTTCAGGTAGTTGAAGGCTGCTATCAAATCCCCCCTCATTCTTCTCTTCTGGAGACTAAACAATCCCAGTTCCCTCAGCCTCTCCTCATAAGTCATGCGCTCCAGACCCCTAATCATTTTTGTTGCCCTCCGCTGGACTCTTTCCAATTTTTCCACATCCTTCTTGTAGTGTGGGGCCCAAAACTGGACACAGTACTCCAGATGAGGCCTCACCAATATCGAATAAAGGGGAACGATCACGTCCCTCGATCTGCTGGCAATGTCCCTACTTATACAGCCCAAAATGCCGTTAGCCTTCTTGACAACAAGAGCACACTGTTGACTCATATCCAGCTTCTCATCCACTGTGACCCCTAGGTCCTTTTCTGCAGAACTGCTACCTAGCCATTCGGTCCCTAGTCTGTAGCTGTGCATGGGATTCTTCCGTCCTAAGTGCAGGACTCTGCACTTGTCCTTGTTGAACCTCATCAGGTTTCTTTTGGCCCAATCCTCTAATTTGTCTAGGTCCCTCTGTATCCGATCCCTACCCTCTAGTGTATCTACCACGCCTCCTAGTTTAGTGTCATGACTTGAACATGACTTGAAATTGGATACCCCTGTCTTTGAGGAAAGTTTGGATTTGGTTTTGATATGGACTTCACTTTGGAGTGGAACCCCAAATCTGAACACCCCTGAATCTGGGAAAACTTTGTAGTTTGGTCTCCTCACCACTCAGTAAAATAATATCTTCAGAGTTCAAACTGTCCACCTTTGTGCAGCACCTTTTAAGCAGAAAGGATTTGTAAGGAAATGGAATTTTCTGGTCCAAAGAGACAGCGTAAAAGTTTAGCTTTGAATGCCTTTTAAATGAATGCATGTTCTTACTAACAATTTTTTGTTTGAGTAATCAGAAAAGCCTATGAATATCTGATAATGAGTAATGAACAAATTTAGTATCTCTTAATGTTAAAGCAGCATATTTCTTTGAAACAAATGTCCTTTTAAACCATTAGCCTGAAGTAAATGGTGATTTCATGTGTCTGATTTTTCATAATCCATGCCCATGTGCGTATACTGTGTGTTTTACAGGTACTATCCCATGGGCCATCCAGTTTCAGTCCAACTCTACTTCCTCGCTGATCGTTTTCAGGGCTTCCTAATCAAACATCATGCAACAAATCTGGCTGTCAGTAAACTAGAGACTTTGGAAACTTGGGTGATGCCAAAGAAAATGTTTAAGATTGCTAGTCCACCAAGTGATTTTGGAAGGCTGCAGTTTTCAGAGGTAAGCATTCCTAGCTAGAGCAGTCCTAGCCATTTTGCCAGCCAGGGCGCATTTTTGGTACAAGCCCTCACCCCATCCCCCTTGTGCAGCCACGCCAAAAAAAAAAAAAAAATGCCCATAGCCAGCCAATTAGTGGAGCAAAAAAAACCAACCAATCAGCCACTTGTTTTACAAACAACTGGTGAATTTGCATGTCAATTCATCAACTTTTTCAAATGCATTTTAGACACGTCTGAGGCAGAGTGGCTCAGTGCATTAGTGCACAAGTCCTTCGTCATAGGAAATATTGATGCAAATCATGGTTTATGGCCCAACCATGTAACATGCTGAGCACTTCCTGCAATATTGTAAATGCCCTCAGATCCCCTTGAGTTAAGTGGCAGATGAGGGCAGTTATCTCACCACAGGTGGTCAGTATCTTACAGGACTTATCATCCGTGTCAATTTCCCCTTCCAGAGAGACTCGGGGATGCGGGAGGAAAGGGCACTGCAGCTCCAGATTGAGGTGGACTGTGTGATGGAGCCAGCTCTTTTCTCTAGCCTGTGCTATTCAATCCTCCCTCTCGTGAGCACCCTGAAAAAATTAAAATTTGGAAAAGTCGGGGATTATGGATAGAATATTGATGTAGGAACATCAAAGAGAAAATTACCACAGCAATGGCTGAGATTTACCCACAAATCCTGTTATTTCCTCCTGGGATTTGTCCCATTATCTGACACACACACTGTAAAAAATGTACCCCTAAAATACATCATGAGAAATAGACCAATAATAGAATCTGACATCTATATTGTATTTTAAACATATAACTGTCTAAACAGTTAATTTCATGATGTTTCTTGTTAAGCCACAAATTTCAATTAAAGCATAAAATTGATTGAACAAATTTGTTCCCAGTCATTATGGCCAAGTCCATAAATTATCATCTTCTTGGGCAATTAAGAAAGGCCTAGGTAGGATTCAGTGTTTTGGTGTGCGTGGCAAATCCAAGAAATTAATGTCCCATTAAGAAGATGAATGTGGGATGCATTCTGTTTATCAATGTGTCTGGTGGTTGACTTGCCATTTCGTGCAGTGATAAATTGTCATACAAGCTGTATTTCTTTGTAGCACTTCTGTTGTTTGTTTGGTTCTTAATTCTACTTTAGCATAATTCCTGATTTAAGTGCTTCTACGTTTGAAAACACGTGGGTGAGCAACAGAAACAGTTCATCTAGCTGAGTGACAAAATGTGTTTAAAGTACTCGAGTATCCATTTTAAATACAGTGTTAATAAGAAAAAGAAAAAATCTTGACTTGTATCAGTTCCTGGAAAAGGCCCAAAATCTGTCCTAAGATTGATGCCTGTGCCCCCACTGACCTCAGTGGCAGTCATGTAAGTGTAAGCAAGGGAAGAATTTGACACTTGGTGAGTTCCTCTCACTTCAGAAGGAAATTTTTCTTCCACTGGAAAATAGTCATCCAGATACTCTTGAAAAGAGTTTTGTTTGTTGCGTCTCAGATTGTTTTCTCCTTTCGCAGTTGATTCATATTAAGAAAGACTAGGAAGCACAAAGCCAATCATTTTAATCATCATTTAAACATTTACTTTATTTTCTCACTCGCCTTGGAAAACAGATCTCTCTGCTTTTGGACCCAGCTTTGCTCCCTCGTGTACATACGGAATAACTCCATTGGCTTCAGTCAAGGCTGACAAGCCCCAGAACCGATCCATCGTCATTTTAAATGACATTTCTTGCTTCTGAAAGATCTCATGACTGTCAAATAAACCAATCCGTGCCCCTACTATAAGGACTACAACAGTCTTAGGATCAAAGGCTGTGAGCTAAGCAACCAGACAGAAAACTCAGGATGATGGTTATGCTCGTCATGCCATATCAGTGCTGCCTTTCCCAATAACTTTCTTCTTGCGATCAGGCAGTGCATTAGAATTGGCAAGGTGGTTATTGGCTGGGCACTGCAGTCCTTTTGCTGGCTCACACAAATGAGGCCAGCAGGAAGAGCACAGGGAGGCTGCTTCAAAATGTGCTGCAGATAAGACTTAAAGTTTACAGTGGTCATTGTGGTCCATGCATACAACCAATAGTATAGCAGGGGTGATAGGATCACTACAGTTCCGATTAGGCTCATGCTGCTTTTACTACTATTATGGTTACCGCTCCCCCATTTTGCTCCTCAAACTCTGCTTCCTGACGAGCAGGTTTTCCACAACACCAATACAAGCGTGAGACAGAAAGGTGAGTGTGATAGACATTATGAGAGTGCTAGTGTTGAGGTACCAAAGTGTTGGCAAAGTTTACGGCAGAATAGCAGTTGCACAGTAGATTCTGAACACACTCTATTGTGTCGAATTTTAGGATTAGAGGAAACGTCAGAGGGAGAAATGGCTAGGGTTCCCCCACTCCATCCTCATCGGATGGCAGCCCCAGACCCCTCAAAAATGATTTGTATATTTGTGAGGGTGTCCTTGTCATCTACTGCAAACCTGGATTTGTGCTATATCTTAGGAAACCTGAAATTTAATGCACTTGGAGGGGGAAAGATTGATTTAATTTAAAGTATTAAAAGACTTCAGCTCTAACTGTATCATTGGAACACTAAGTTCATTTCTGGCCTTGTTAAAGTTGTGATTTATCACAGAGAATAAAATAAACCAGGTGGCAAGTAATTAGCGTGCATTGTGTGAACCTAATGGTCCTGCTTATGAAGAGCAATGAGAGACAAACCCATAATCAAGGCATAATTTATTTTGGGCAAATTTTATCTTGGGATTGAACAAGGATGGAAACAGGAGTTTTATACCAATGAGACAAGGGAGAATTCCAGCTTCCCAAGTATCCCCAGCACTCACATCTTGTTCCGGGAGCCCAGAATAATCTACCTTAAGAGAGAGGTCTATAGCATATGGCTGTCTCTATAGAAAACTATCATACGATGTGATGTGGTATAAAAGTTTTTCCATTGTGGATTTCGAATAGGCGATTTACTCTTGAATGTCAAAGCCACAAGAGAGCTCTGCAGCTCATCCCAAATGACTGTTAATGAAGCCTTGATACCAGCCCACATCATCATGCTCTCTGTGTGTTCCACATACGGTATCCAAAACTTATTTTAAGAATGTTTTAGGGCAGGGCTCAGAGGAAGGGAGGGAAGGAGGGATAAAAAGTTCTCAAAATTGCTTAAAATCACCTTCACTATAAAATGCTACAACTTGAAAGCCTCAGCCCCTCTCCTGCACTGAAATCTGCTCAGCACAAGAGAGTGTGTGTCTGGGGAGGACATCAAGAAACTGGTTGTGATTTCCTGATTCTGTGGACTGATCTGCAGTGGCCCTGGCCCCAGTGTAGATTAAAGCAGTGCCTGGGCTGCTCTCACATACATCATCTAGCTGAGGTCCCCGAAGGAATGTACCAAAGCTGGAGACTGCCAGAGCACACTGCGCTCCAGCCGTACCACCTCTCTGTCTCCAGCATACCCCTCACTCCTTAGGCTAGGGCCTCCTTCATGCTACGTCTAGGCTGAGGTATGGGATTTCAGAGTTTTATGCTTTGGCCTATCATTGTAGTATCTGACCATCTTCCACATAACATCAATAGTGAAGTCTCTAGTGGATTTTATTGAGTCTCTGGCAAGTCTCCCTTTTTGGGGTAAAATCTCTGCTTGAGGTAAGGTCTTTGTGTGGTTGCTTTTTTTTTTTTTTCTCATTGGCAGGGGTTTATTTGGTAGAAAGGGGTGTCAGTGGTGTGTGTGTGTGTGTGTGTGTCATTTTTATGGTGGAAAGGCTTGGTCGAAGAGGAAGGTTTTGCAGCATTTCCTAAAGACAATCACACTCTGGATTCCTCTGATCCCTTCTGGAAAATAGTTCTGTAGCCAGGTCCCCTTGTCCAAGATTGTTTTATGCACAGCTATCACATGCTTCATCTTGGGCTTTCTGATGAGCATTGTCCTGGAGAAGCGCAGCTGTCAATCATTCATAGATCGAAATGTGGTCTGTAATGTTGCTGGGGCTTGATCCACTAATTGCTTTGAAAATTAGGACAAAAGCCTTAAACTGGCATCAAAAGCCGGCTGTGAGCCAGAGGAGGGACATCAGTATGGGTTTGATGTACTCCTGGTGGCCTAAACCGTGGAGAAGGCAGGCAACTGCATTCTGTACCAGCTGGCGCCTGTGCATCACCTTCACATTCCGCTTCCATCTGGTGAATTACAGTAATCCAGCCTAGAGGTGACGAAGGCATGGATCACTGCAGCCAGGTCCTTCTCCAGAAGGAAGGGACAAAGCAGGCATTTTTAGATACTGATGCTAACCTGGTCATCCAAGCTCAGTGAGGAGTGAAAGAGCATCCCAAGGTTTCACACCATTCTGACAAATTGGAACTGTATGCCTTCAGTGGAAGGTGGAGACAGTGACTCTCCTACTTCTTCAGAGCATTTCTCCTTTCTGAGAAGCATCATGTCAGTCTTTCCTGGATTCAGCTTCAGCCAGCTGCTTTTCATTCAAGAGCTGATTTCTGGCAGGCATGCTGACATTTGAGAATGAGATACATACAGTAGAACACCAGAGTTACAAACCGACCTGTCAACCACACACCTCATTTGGAACCGTAAGTACGCAATCAGGCAGCAGCAGAGACACAAAAAAAGGGGGTGGGGGCAGCAAATACCGTATAGTTCTGTGTTAGATGTAAACTACTACAAAAAGGGAAAGGTTTTTTTAAAAAAAAAAAAAAGATTTGACAAGGTAAGAAAACTGTTTCTGTGCTTGTTTCATTTATATTAAGGTGGTTAAAAGCAGCATTTTTGTTCTACATAGTAAAGTGTCGAAGCTGTATTAAGTCAATGTTAACTTGTAAACTTTTGTAAGAACAACCATCAAGTTTTGTTCAGAGTTACAAACATTTCAGAGTTACAAACAATCTCCATTCCCGAGGTGTTCGTAACTCTGAAGTTCTACTGTAGTTAAGTGTCAGCAGCACACTGTTGGCCACTGAGCCCATGGCATCTCCCTGTTTCTCTGTGCTCTCAGGTAAAAATTGAAGAGAAGAGAGGTTAGTATGGATCCCTGCAGAACCCCAGAGGAGAGGGCATCTACTAATTGCCAGTCTAAGTTCTGCTGGGCATGGAGCTCTTGTCTGTGTGAATGGCTAAAGGAAGGCCATTTTTAGTCTCACCAGAGCTGTCTTTATGGCGTTCCTGATCTGAATCCTGGTTATGAGATATCTAGGATGTTAGCTGATATCACATGTTGTTGGAGGTTACTAGCTTCTGAATTATTTTGCCCAAGAAAGGGAGGTTGGCGACAGAACAGTAGTTGAGAGGTCTTCAGGATTTAAGGGTAGGCTTCTTGAGGATTAGGCGAGCTATTGCATTTTTTAAGGAGTTAGGTTGGTGTGCTTCTCTGAAGGAGACATTGGCCATTCCTGTTCGTAGTGGGCATAGTTGTTTGCTGGCTTTTACCAGCCAGGAGAGTCATGGATCCATTCCATACACTGTGGCTGTATTATTTTTCAGGACTTTTTGATCTTCAGCAAGTGTGACAGGGCCACACTCAAGTGGATAATACAGTCTGGTCAGGGAATTTTCTTTCCCATTTAGCTCCATAGTTATGCAATTGATCTTATCAGAGAAGTGGATGCTTGGGTCTGGGCTATGCAGTCTGGGTTAGCCAGTTCACTATGTGAAATAGGCTCTACTGGCCATGATTCTGCTGCATTGATTGTGGAGAAGTAGAAGGCTCATTTTGCCTCCTTTGCTGCAGTGATATAGTCCTGTAAGAGGCGTTTTTGCTGCTGGAAGATGGATTCAAAATGTTATTGCACTGCTGGCATTCTAGCTTTCTGCCTGTGCCCTTCATCTGCAGGAGTTCACCTATAAACCTTGATGATCGCCTCAGTCAGTGTGGATGGAGTGGGTGGCTTTGGGGCCTACGTGTCAATGGCAGTGCATACCCAAAGATTGTACTCCTGTATATCATCAGCACCTAGGCATTGTGTTTGGGTGGCTAGTTCTCCTAAGATGAGATGAGAACTTAGAGAGTTCAAGAGTCTAGTGGCAGGCCAGCTTTGGGTGGTCACTACCCTCGTGGGAAGGAAAAACATTATCATAACTTAGGAACGGCCATACTGCGTCAGACCAATCAGCCTCTAGCTCAGTATCTTGTCTCTGACAGCATACAGTGCCAAATACTTCTGGCACTTGGAGGTTTAGTGACAGCCAGAGTGTGGGTGTGCATCCCCGACCATCTTGGCTAATAGTCACTGATGGACCTTTCCTCCTTGGCAACAACTTCCACAGGTTGACTGTGTGTAGTGTGAAGTACATCTTTTTGTTTGTTTTAAACCTGCTGCCTATTAATTTCATTGGGTGACGCCTGGGTTATGTGAAGGGGTAAATAACACTTTTTCTCCACACCATTCATGATTTTATAGATCTCTCTCATATCCCCCCTGAGTCATCTCTTTCTAAACTGAAAAGTCCGAGTCTTTTTAATCTCCCCTCGTATGACAGCTGTTCCATACCCCTAATTATTTTCATTGCCTTTCTCTGCACCTTTTCCGGTTCTAATATATCTTTTTTTGAGATGGGGCGACCAGAACTTTACACAATATTAAAGTTGTAGGCGTTATGACATTTTATGTTTCATTATCCATACCTTTCCTAATGGTTCCTAACATCATTACTTTTTTTGACCGCCACTTCACACTTGATCACATGTTTTCGGAGAACTATCCACAATGACTCCAAAATCTCTTTCTTGAGTAGTAGCAGCTAATGTAGAACCCATCATTTTGTATGTATAGTTGGGATTATGTTTTTCCAGTAAGCATTACTTTGCACTTGTCAGCATTGAATTTCATCTGCTATTTTGTCTCTCCGTCACCCGATTTTGTGAGATCCCTTTGTAGCTCTTCGCGGTGAGCTTTGGATTTAACTATCTTAAGTAATTTGTATCATCTGCAGATTTTGCCACCTCGCTATTCACCTCCCTTTCCATATTCATATTTATGAATATGTTGAACAGCACTTGTCCCAGTACAGAGCCTGGGGGGATCCCACTATTTACCTCTCTGCAACCTGAAAACTGACCATTTAGTCTTACTCTGTTTCCTATCTTTTAACTAGTTACTGATCCATGAGAGGACCTTCCCTCTTACTCCATAACTGCTTACTTTGCTTAAGAGCCTTTGGTGAGAGACCTTGTCAAAGGCTTTCTGAAAGTTCAAGTATGTTGTATCCTTGGGACACCTTGTTCACAGTCTTGTTGACTCCCTCAGAGATTTCCAATATATTGGTGAGGCATGATTTCCTTTTACGAAAACCATGTTGACTCTTCCCCAACATTCCATATTTATTTGTGTCTGATAATTTTGTTCTTTACTATCGTTTCAAGCAGTTTGCCTGCTACTGAAGTTAGGCTCACCAGGACTGCCTCTGAAACTGTTTTCTAAAAATATGTATTACATTAGCTATCCGCTGCTCACTGATATAGAGGCTGATTTAAGGTTACATACCACAGTTAATATATTTCATATTGGAGTTCCTCCAGAACTCTTGGGTGAATACCATCTGGTCCTAGTGACTAGCTACTGTTTAATTTATCAGTTTGTTCCAAAACCTCCTCTACTTGACATCTCAATCTGGGACAATTTCTCAGGTTTGCCGCCTAAAAAGAATGGCTCGGGTGTCAGGATCCTCCCATATCCTCTGCAGTGAAGACTGATGCAGAGGATTCATTTAGCTTCTCCACAATGGCCTTGTCTTCCTTGAATGCTCCTTTAGCACCTCAGTCATCCAAGAAGGAAGGCTCCTGCACATGTGTGTGTGGTTATCCCAGGCTAGATAGTTATACATAAACATATGCTATAATAGGCAGTTTGGGTGAAAAAAATGCCTTTCAGAAAGGGCTGACTATTATGTATGCCTTTGTGCTATCTGTTTACCAATATTTCTCTCTTTAATGTATAAGCAAAGGCTGGTAAATTCACATTATCCGTGGGTTACAGGTGAGCCATTAAATCCCATATTAAGAGCACTGAAATATGAAAGCTGCTAGGAAAATGAAAGGTCTATTAAATATTTACTGTGGGATGTGAATCAGCTACTTTACTGCTAGTAAATAAAAGAAGAACGTTAATGCTGTGACAGTAAGAATAGGGCTTACCAGTAATAATCCCCTGGTACCAATCAGGAAGGGAGTGCCGTGACTGCTGAGGAGCGGGGGGGCAGTGTCTGATCTGTAAATTAAGTAGGGCCTGAGTCAAGTTCCATTGAAGCCGTTGACTTTGAAAGCAACTGGATTGGGCCCAAACTACACGATTCTGGCGATCAAGGTTCAGTATATTATGTTTGGTTAATGAACAGTACTGGGCAAAGGGGTGACATGGGAATCCAGTCTGAGTCTGCGGTTTCCTTACCTTTCTCTGACTATAGACTTTTCCAAATTAATTTTCCTCTTTCAACAACAAAAGCAAAACAAAATAGAGAGAGAACCTCTCCCGTTCACATGGTGTCTAGTCAAAGGCTCACTCAAACCCATATCAGGTCATTGGACTCATTGCAGTTCTTGCTTTAACTTTTGAAACCTGGGCATCTCAACAGAACATCTCGCTGCCCAAATCAGCAGTTATGTACCTAAAACAGGCATTTACATGTCTACATGGTCTTTTGAGCATCCCATTCAGGATTGAGGATTTCCCGCTAATGTGTCCATGTGTAAAAACTAAGCTCCCCTGCCAAGCTAATTTGTGCTTACTTCTTACAATACATTAAAAAGCTCTGATCTCTCATTACAACGTGTCTGTACTGGGCAATGCACATGGATTAAAGACAAAAGCTACTGCAGTGAATATTCAGTAGCTACATTTGGACAATAAATTAATCTTTTTTTATTTATTGCTTAAACACTAAATGTTCTAAGTTCTCATTCTGGATCAATAATCTGCCAACTTTAATATTTGCAATGGCTTTTTTTAAATGTTTAAAAAGCTTGTTACCAAATTTAAGTTTCTTTGTTGAATTTCCATTCAAAGCATGTTTTAATGCCAGTATTATAACACTGACAGATCCTGATTCATGTCATTGTCCAGAGGTATTGTGTGTGTGTGTGTGTTTCTGTAAATAACATAGATTTATGCCCTGATCCT